GGGCTCCTTTTACAGCTCCTCTTTTATGATTTCCTGCCTAGAGAGCAGCCACAACGCTGGATGAGAAGATTGAGAAAGTGAGACAGAAGAGGAAGTTCCAGGTCGGGGCCTTTCTCTCTCATTACTGAAAAGCTTGGTATGGGTTTGGCCTTCTACTGTGTTCCCTCCAGGGGCACAGACTCTGCAAACACCCTGAGCTGCAGTGCTCAAGCCGCAGCTCATTGCCTCCGCTGGGTTTGCAACCACACCTGATGCGTTGCTGAACTGATGAGAATGCAGAATTGTTAATGCTTAAGGTTGTCCAAAACCATGGATGTGGGAATGGGCTCATAGCAACAAACAAAAGCTCACAAAGGTTTGAAGTTTCTTCTTTATCCTTTCTTTTTAAAACTTTTTTAAAAAATCTTTTTCTAGGAAAGAGAAGCTAAACAAGCAAAAATGAAAGATGAAGATGCAGATACTGAGGATAATCAAACCAAAAAGCAGGAGTGTGAGGATTTCAGTGGGGACAAAGATGATGATGATGTGGAGTCTCAGTATTCATTGGATGATGAAACTATCTTCAGAAAAGCAGGTATTAGCAGTACATAGAGAGATGGTCAGGAGCAAGACTCTGACAGACGGTTGGCTCACTGGAGAAAAGTCTGTAGTGAAGCCTTGCTGGCAGTGGACAAGAACCTCTTGGTTTTTTGCTGTTTTCCTTCTGCAACGTTCCTTCTGATTTTGGTCAAGCTTATTTTGAATGGTAGCCATAGTACTTTAATTGAACTCAACCCTGAAGAAGGATATTTGCTTGGCATTTTACTCTGTTGCACGCCTGTCCTTGTTTCTGAGGCTTCTCCGTCAATAACTCATTCAGAGCAAAAAGTATGAGATGAAGGTAGTCACCATATCTTGTTATGTGTTAAGCTGTGCTTGTTAATCCCTGTCACACTTCTCTGTCTGCAGATACGGTCAAAGTGAAGGAACGGAGGAGATCGAAAAAGGGAGAAGTGGTAAGTGTTGGACAGAATGACGCTAGGTCATTCTCCATTTCTTCTGGAGGAACTTGACTTTGGTTAACAATCCATAGCTCAAAAACCAGCCCAGAACCCTTTGATGGCATGTTGTGTTGCTGCCTGTGTTGTTCCAGTTTTTTTATTGTTGCTTTCTAGGAAGCAGAGAGCTTTTTTGAAGATGCCTCTCAATACGATGATAACTTGTCATTCCAGGACATGAATCTTTCACGACCTTTGCTAAAGGTATTTACCTAGTTTAGTTATTGCATACGTTACTCTGAAGAATGTTGTACAGCCTCCCCTCCACCATTCAGAACTGTCAAATTCCTCTTCTCTTTGCAGCCTCTCTGAAAAGGAAATTACGTGGGAGCTAGTGTGATGGTCCTTTAGGGGCCGTTATTCCCAAATAATGGAAACCATTCTGGACTCTCTCCAGCATGGCCACATCTCTTGTACCGAGGAGTCCAGCGCTGGGCACAGCACTCCAGGTGTGGCCTCACCAGAAACAGAGTGTAATTGTTCTATCTCCTTTGTAGGCAATCACAGCTCTTGGCTTCAAGCAACCAACCCCAATTCAGAAGGCTTGTATCCCGGTGGGTCTTCTGGGGAAGGATATTTGTGCCTGTGCTGCCACTGGGACAGGTAGGAGGTTGAGCAGGGCACAGGAAACACGGAGAATTAGCTGTTCACAGTTACTGGTAATTCTTGGTGGTGTGGTTTAACCGCACAGCTGTTCACGCAGGAGAGAGAATCAAAAAGAAAAAAAAAAAGGTAAAACTCACGGGTGCACGGGTGGAGATAAAGACAGTTTAGTAGGACAGAAAATGAAGATGATAATAATAATAATAATAATGATAAAAGAATATACAAAACAAGTCATGCAAAGCACAGTTGCTCACCACCTGAAGCCAATGCTTACCTAGTTCCTGAGCTATGCAAACCTCCTGACCAGCCCCCCCAGTTATATACAGAGCATGTGGTATAGAATATCCCTTTGACCAGTTTGGGTCAGCTGTTCTGGCCGTGTCCCCTCCCCGCTTCTTGTGCACCCCCAGTGTACTTGTTGGCAGGGCAGTATGGGAAGCTGAAAAGTCCTTGACTGCTTGGCAGCAACTGAAACAGTGTGTTACCAACATTATTCTGATCATAAATCCAAAACACTGTGCTATGCCAGCTGCTAGGAAGAAAATTAACTCTATCTGTGCTGAAACCAGGACACTTAGTAATTCTTAATTTTTTTTCTTTAGGTAAAACAGCTGCCTTCATCTTGCCTGTCCTCGAGCGCCTCATTTACAAACCTCGTCAGGCCCCAATAACACGAGTATTGGTTCTAGTACCAACACGAGAACTGGGTATTCAGGTGCACTCTGTCACAAAACAGCTGGCGCAGTTCAGCAGTGTCACAACTTGCCTTGCTGTAGGTTAGTATTAAGTTGCTTATGTGAACCATACAGCTCGCTGTAAGCTGCTATGCAGAGCTGGGAATTCTGTGTTATCAAACTGGAGGCTATACGGTTATTGCAGGTATACTTCTGGTAGGTGTGCTGGGGTTTAAAATCTCGCTTTCCAATACCGTGCTGTACTTTTTGTTTGTTGGTTTCTGGAAAGAAGAGGTGGGGTCACTTCTAATTGTGAATGTGGTATTAATCCGAGTTATTTGCTGTTCTTCGGGTAATTTGGATCTGCGTACTCTGCTGCTGCGTCCTCAGGGAGTCAGCAGTCTGTGTTCACTCCCTGCTAGGTGGCCTTGATGTGAAGACTCAGGAAGCAGCTCTGCGTTCTGGGCCAGACATTCTTATCGCCACTCCTGGGCGACTGATTGATCATCTCCACAACTGCCCCTCTTTCCACCTAAGCAGTGTTGAGGTGCTGATTTTGGATGAAGCAGACAGGTAGGCTAAGCCGGACAGCAGTGAAAAATGAGATGGTAGTTTTCCGTTTTCCTTTTCTCAGGCTACAGGGCAGTTTTGCTGCCCTGCCTTAAGTAATGATTCTTAGCTAGAACCAGGTGAAGCTGCCTTACCTTGCTGCTTTTCTCCTGTGTAGGATGCTGGATGAATACTTTGAGGAACAGATGAAGGAAATAATAAGGTTGTGCTCCAACCACCGTCAGACAATGCTTTTCTCTGCCACAATGACAGAGGAGGTAAGACAGGCTGCTGAGGGGCATATTGAGGCAGAAAGTTGAATACAAGTTTGTCCGGTCTTTTACCAGAGATTATATGGACTGGTTTTTTTCTTAACTTGTTTTGGTAGGTGAAAGATTTGGCTTCCGTTTCCCTGAAAAATCCCGTCCGAATTTTTGTGAACAGCAACACAGACGTTGCCCCTTTCCTGCGGCAGGAATTCATCCGGATCAGACCTAACCGAGAGGGGGACCGTGAGGCTATTGTATCAGGTTAGTGATGAGCAAAGAAAAGCTGAAATCAGCAGGTGACTATGAAGCAGGCTCCTGAGAGGACTGTCTTTCAGCTCTACTGACACGAACGTTCCCAGATCATGTGATGCTTTTCACCCAGACCAAGAAGCAAGCTCACCGTATGCACATCCTGCTTGGGCTGATGGGTCTACGGGTTGGGGAGCTTCATGGGAACCTCTCTCAGGCGCAGCGGCTGGAAGCACTCAGGTATTAGCTGGCTTAGTTTGGCAGTCATGGGCAAAAAACAAGTTAGGAGATGGAAGTCTTAGGGCAGAAGTGGATCGCGGTATTCATTGCTACTGCATTTGTTATCTCTGCTCAGGCGCTTTAAGGATGAGCAGATCGATATTCTGGTAGCTACAGATGTGGCTGCACGTGGACTTGATATTGAAGGTGTTAAAACAGTGAGTATTTGCAGTGCTGAGCTTTTTAATGAGTCCTTTAATACTGTTTCCCTACTGACACTGTTTTTGTTATAGGTAATCAATTTTACCATGCCCAACACCACCAAACACTATGTTCATCGAGTGGGTCGGACAGCAAGAGCAGGCAGGGCTGGTCGTTCAGTTTCACTTGTGGGTGAGGAAGAGCGCAAGATGCTAAAGGATATTGTGAAGGCTGCCAAAACGCCAGTGAAAGCCAGAATTCTCCCCCAAGGTACGCACTTCACTGAGGTAAAAAGCAGGAGAGCAGTTGGCAGGGAAATACAGGGGTACAGAGGGGCACTAAAAGAGGTGGATGTGAAAAGAGGTGCAAGATGGACTTTGTGAGCTGCTTTTGATGGTCACACTGTCATTTTCAGATGTCATACTAAAATTTCGAGAGAAGATTGAGAATCTAGAGAAAGATGTATATGCAGTTCTGTGCTTGGAGCGTGAGGAACGTGAGATGCAGCAATCAGAGGCCCAGGTAAGGGGTTTTTTTTAAGGAAATTTATTTTTACCTTAGTTTTTTTTAGGATCTGGAGTAGACACAGTGCATAAGGAGGTTGCCCTAATGTATTTAACCTGCCTGCTTTAGAAAGGGCAGAGAGAGATATTTTTTAGCTACCATGAGCTCACTTCTTGCCTGAATTATCTCAGATCAATAGGGCAAAGAAGCAGCTGGAGACAGGAAAACAAGAGACTGCGGGTGAGGGTATGGAGCGGAGCTGGTTCCAGACCCGTGAGGAGAGGAAGAAAGAGAAATGTGAGCCATGACACTGCTGCCACTTTAAATTCCATAGCTGCAACTGGACTGTGCCCTGTACTTTGAGAGGTTCTATATTCTATGTTTTTCTTTGTCTTTCCAGTGGCTAAAGCCCTGCAGGAGTTTGACCTAGCATTACGAGGCAAAAAGAAAAGGAAGAAATTTATGCAGGACAGACAGAAAAAAGTCCAAATGACAGTGAGTACATTTATGGACAAGTGGCACCCTGGGTGGACAATCCTTGTTGTCCCTTAGCAAAACCTCACATCACTGAAAACTTGCATTTTAACACCTTTCAGCCAGAGGAGAGGTCACAGTTTGAAATCTTGAAATCTCAAATGTATGCTGAGCGGCTGGCAAAAAGGAATCGCCGAGCAAAGCGAGCTAGAGCCTTGCCAGAAGAGGAACCAGCAGCAGTACCAGCAGGTGGAGACTTGGTTTATGGCTGACTTACCTTATATCTGTTACTTTGTTACAAATAGGTAAATTAAATTAATTTGTATAGAGGGAAGCATTGATCCTTGAAGGAAAGGCCACGGGTGATGACCAGGGTGTGTGTTTGCAAAGAGGAGTCATTGCTGTTCCTGATGGTTAGGCTAATTGTTGTGGTCAAGGCTACTGGGCTCTAGTAAACATGATGATGCTGTGGCTTTCTCTCACCAGCCAACGTTCTGACTATTGTCTCTGTGTTAGGTCCTAAGCGGAAGAAAAAAACATCTGTGTTTGATGAAGAGCTTACGAACACAAGCAGGAAGGCTCTGAAGCAGTACCGTGCTGGGTAATGCCTTAGTAGTGGTACATTAGTCCAGACTTCAGTAGGTGGGATTTTTGCACCTCTGGACTTTCTCGGGATACTTTGATACTGGGGGAAGAGGTGGGCAGAGCAGAGAAGGGATTCTTGCAAGAAATACCTGTGCTATTGACATACTTCAGTGGCTTTTGTCTTACCTCCTCTCTCCCCTCTTTCCTAAAAAGCCCATCATTTGAAGATCGAAAACGCTTGGGTATGGCCCAGCGTAGAAAAGGAGGAAACTTCAAGTCCAAGTCCAGGTATAGCTCACCTTTACTTTTGTATTCA